TTTCCAAAGTCCAGCTTAAATAACGACTTTCCTGACAAGAAAGAGAAAACCTCAACCATGAGACTGAAACACAAATGACTTTGTCATGAGTTTCTGTAATCATAGTCATAGCTGGATCATAAATTGAAGAAAGACTGACCTTATGGAAACTGCCATAGAAAATCTTCTTAATTTCACTTCCTTCGAAAGTCACTGTTTGAAATTCTCCCTTGTAGTCGTAATTGAAAAAGGTTAATGTTTTCCCTCCGTCTGAAGAGAGACAAAAAAAAATTTGACACAAGGGTTCTAGATCTTTTAAGTCAGTGGTTCTCGACAGGTTTTGTTTCAGGACTAAGATTTTACATGTATGAAAATGCATTTTGGTCAACACAAACCATGTTTATTCCATGTTTACATACGTTAATGCAGTCTTGGTTGCATTTACTTTTACCTTGTGTAATTTCGTACATGGTTTAAGAATACACTGGTATCTGCATAATTTTTTTGCCAAGGAACCACACAATTTATTAGACACACAGCTTTTGACACCTACAACAAATAAAATGAAATGTGTTTTCTGCAACCTTATAAAAGCAGATCATCCCATGTTTTTTTTGCTAGTTTAACTTTTCATGATTATATGGTTAGTTAGGAGTGTTTCTGTTTGCATCCCATTTTTGGGTTACAACCCACCAGTTGAGAACCACTGTTTGATGAACACATAATTGATCAAAAGGAAAAATATATGTTATTGTAGAACATTTTTAAATAATTTAAATCATTATTAAACCATTATTTTTATTTTATTTGTTTCTTTATTAAGATGAATGAAAATTAATGAATGAAAGATTTGATGTTAGGCCTGCATAGGGACATAAAGCAAATCAAAAACATTAATACTCACTATCCAGGATAATGCCCACAAGTGGCTCATTGTTTTTGTCAAGGATTTCCCACAATGCAAAAGGTTCCTGAGGAGTTTCAGGCAGTATGCGGAACAGCATAGATATAGTGTAGTCAGAGGGAAGGCCTTCAGGATGTAGATACCTGTCAACATAAATCATACATATGCAAACTCCTTCACATCAAGTTTGAAATAATGAACTGAAATGATCGGTCACTTTTTAAAGTTTTTTTTTTTTT